TCTAGTAATGCTCAGTGGCTTAAGATCAGAACTGGTTCTTAAAAAAAACACTAAAAACATAAAAATACTTAGCCCCTGTAGAATATTTACCTGTAGAGTATGTTCATTTAGGCTTACATTCCAGGATTTACTATATCACTTATAATTTTAAAGATCACATCCAAAGGAGAAAGCAAACCACCTACAAACTGGCATTATTTGTTTATTTCTTGGCTTGTGATACGTCCTTAATTTGTTGATGTAGCAAACAAATTTCAACTCTGCTATGCAAATGACAGAAGGAATCTGCTCAGCAATTAACTTTAGAGTTCAATTTCATACAGGCAACATGCTATATGTGAAAAAATTACTAACTGAACTACAGGTATTAAATACTGAAAAAATTAACAGTTTATTATAATTTATTTTATTTAACAATCTAGGAAGTTCGCGGCCATCAGCAGTTCCAGTGCAATTTCAGGTGCAATTGGGAATTCAGGAATCTCAGTGGAGCTGTTAGTGTAGCGGACCTTGTAGGTAAAATACATGCATACTTTTGATAGCACGTGCGAAGGGATCTCTCTAAAATTGACCTCATTGGTTTCATTCTCAGCAAACTGCCCTGTAAAACAAAAGAGTTACAAGTTATGGGCTGCACAGTGACTGTTCTTGTTCTCAAGGGACTCTTTAATTCCAACAACCTCACATTGTGACTGTACTTGAAGGAGAGTCTTCCAGTTAAATCATGTTAAGACAAAGTCTCTAGCACAGGAACACAGTACAGCTGGCATTCTCATCATAAGAGACTAGACACATAGAGGCCGAGAGAAGAGAATGTGAAGACTGGGAGAAGAGCATGTGAGGAGAAGAACAATCAACACTGTCAATGCTTCAGGGATATAAAGTTCTGTGTTCTAAGCCATATGGTACAGGGTACTTTGCTAGGTAGTACACTGATAAATGTTACAAGACTGGCTGTGCTAGCAAACAGATCATCTAACTGATCCCTCAGTAGATGCGCCCCTTTAACAACCTCCAACTCAGCAGCATTTGAAGGCTTGATAGAGTGGTACATGTATGCAACCTCATCGCTTCAGAGGCCAGGGCAAGAGGACTGATTTGAGGCTGGCTCAGGCGGTTCAGCTAAATCTAGGCTCAAAAATCAAACAGTTCACAGTAATGGGATTTCCTTGTAGACACCTCCTTTTTGAACTAATGCTATCCAAAGCAATTTCCAGTAGTGCCTCAAAATATCTTGACCACACAAATGTTATTCATATCATTTGGCCTTAACTAAAATAGAGACAACGCTCTTTTTGTTTGTTTTTCAAGACAGGGTTTCTCTGTGTAGCCTTGGCTGTCCTGGCCTCCTTTGTGATGCACCTGCCCCTGCACCTGAGTGCTGGGATGAAAGGTGTGCAGCACCGCACCTGGCCGGCTCACACTCAAGACAGGTCTGTTTCTTGCTTCCCAGTACTGGGATTAAAGGTGTGTAACCACCCACAGCTCACAGCACTCTCACAGATGTCCAACACTAACATAGGTATATGCTAAATAAAGACATTTCATATCTAAAATATATTTGTAGAGAATGCAACAATTTATTATTGTTGTTGCTGTTAGTGTTTTTTTTTTTTTTTGGTTTGTTTTTTTTTGTTTGTTTTTGTTTTTTTTGAGACAGGGTTTTTCTATGTAGCACTTGCTGTCTTGGCACTCACTGTGTAGACCAGAAGGGTTTATGCAGAGAATGTCTGCCCTCTTCCTCTGAGTGTTCCGCTTACAGGCGTGCACCACCACCGCCTGGCAAAAGAATGCATTCAAAAGTTCCAACTGCCATTAGCTGAAAGTGAGGTAGGACAAGAAAAAGGACTCAAGGTTGAAAGTAAATTTTGCTTGGCTAGCAGTTAAAAACCCTTTTCTCCTGACTAGGGAGGAAATACCTCAACACTTTAGTAATACTGGAGAGCCAGCTTTTATTTTTTTTCAAAGGCAAAAACCATACAAAATCAACTGTTTTAAATAGTACAGTTTAATAGTGTTTTGTTTTCACTGTGTAATACTCCTTGTCTACACAACTACACACTTATTTTTCTCCCTTTGTGGATGGCCTTACTGTGTATCCCTGGCTGTCCAGGAGCACAGAGACATGCCTGCCTCTGCTTCCTGGGTGATGAGATTAAAGGTATGTGCCACTCCAAAGGTGGAAGCAAGAAGATCATGGGTGTATGTGCAAGAATGTTGAACAAATATTCAGAAGAAATGCAAATGGCTGGCAAATACAAGAATTGGTATTCAATATCAGTAGTTACTAAGAAAATACAAATAAAAACATTACTTAAGTATTTACTTTGCACGCAGCAGAACAGCTCTAAAAAGACAGTAATGAGCCAGCAGCTGAGTATACTGCTCTTGCAGAGAATCTGGGTTTGGTTTCCAGCATCCACTTGGCACACAGCCATGACTATGGTTCTAGAGGATCTAATGTCACCTGTCTTCTGGCTCCAGGAACTCTTCTTACATGAGTAACACACATAAACTCATATAGGTACACACCACACATATATAACTACAGTAAATAAGCCATAAGGAAAAAAAAAGATAAATCCCAGTCAGGGTGCTTTATAAACTAGAAGACGAGTATGTTGTCAATAAAAAGGAAAATGATTCCACCTCTTCAGAAACACTTGAAAACACAAGGAACAACCATATGACTAAACAGTCCCTCAAAGCAAGAGAACTAAAAGCTGGTGTTTTAACAGCTTTGTTTTTTTCTTTTTGGGGGGATTTTTTGAGAAAGGGTTTCTCTGTGTGGCCTTGGCTGTCCTGGAACCACTTTGTAGACCAGGCTGGCCTCAAACTCACAGAGGTTCCCCTGCTTCTGCCTCTCTGAGTGCTGGGATTACAAGTGTGTGACACCGTGCCCAGCTAACTAAAAGGTAAACATAAAATGATTGTCAACTGTCACGATGCAGATAGGATCAATGTAGCACATTCCTAACAGAATGCTACCAGTGTTTCCACTACCATGTGAATAAACTTTGAAAGCACTATGCCATGTAGGTGAGATATTGCATGGATTCCAGAATAGGGAAAAGAGAAAGCAGACTGGAAACAGATAAAGCTGAATGAGTATAGTGGGTTTTTTTTTTTTTTTTTTTTTTAAATTAAGGATTACTTTTGGAACTAGATATTGTGATACTTGTACAGAATGGAGATGTAATAATTGCTGCTAGATTTATATGCTTTCGGTTTTTTTTTTTTTGAAGTTGGGAAATGTTTAAAGGTAAGAAGAATGCTAGGTCAGAGCCAGGACCAGTGCTAAGATTACAGGCACCTGTTTTTTTATATGGATTCTGGAGATCCTAACTCAGGTTCATATCCTTAACTACCTTATATTTCCAGTCCTTTTTATTTGTTGTTGTTGTTTGTTTGTTGGTTTTTTGAGACAGTGTCTAGATCTGCTGCCCAGTCTGGCCTGAAACTCCAAGGCTAGAAGCAATTCTTCTAAACCTCAGCCTCTCAAGTAGCTGGGCCTAGTGGTATGTACCATTTTAACTGCTTTCTCTTCCTTCATGTGCTGTGTATCGAACTTGAAATACATTTATTAAACACTGTAAGAATATATGAATGTGAAAACACTGTATTCACTTACCTGGCCCACTCAACATGGCCTTTATTGTTCCTGATGTTAAAGCATGTTCTCTTTTTACAATAAATTCATGACCATCAGAAGATATTAATTTGACATACATGGCATCAGGGCCTTCACAGCCACCATAGGTTTTCTCCTCTCCATCTGAGATAAAGCAACAAAGTAAGTTTCAATCATATAATGTATTGAAAAGAGACAGGTTGTCTGGGTCCATACTTCCAATATACAGGAGCACCTTAAACCTTATTCTAAAATTTTAGGAAGCCCTATAAAGTAGAATGAAGATGACTGTTCTGGTTAGCCACAAACATCCACACTCAGAAATTCATAAAGATTAGGATTAAAATCACCATTGTTGTCAAAGATGTTTCATGTGAATCTAAACCCATGAAAACAAGATGATTTTCAGTCTTTAAAATCAAGGAGCTAGCTCTCAAAAAAGCATAATGAAAGACCTTCTCTTCTCTCCTGAAAAAATAGGAAACTACTTAAAAAATGATACTTGTTTAAACTTAGATTAAAAAAAAGGAAACTTGCTGTTGTGAAGAACACTATCACAGTATTTGGGAAATGTAAATAGAGTTGAAGTATCAGGGGAGATACAAGCTGTGCCTACATAGTGAAGTGGTATCAAACATAGCAAAATGCTAGCAATCCCCCCAAAATTTAAAAACAAACCTAACTGTGTAATTCTGTCAGTGTACGAATGTGCTTGTGCTACAGGGCATGTGTCGGGGCCTGAGGACACCCCCACCGTGTGTATAGTGTATGAGTGTATTAAAGTATGCTTAGCTGTGCAACAGGTCATGTGTATGGCCACAGGTGCCTTTAGTTGAGAGGAAAAAAATAGCTCCCAGTCATTGAAACACAAAGTCACCTCTGAATAACTTACCCATTATGTTCTTATAAAATTCTACTTGATCCCACAAGAACTTTAGTCGTTTCCTGAAAATGTAACAAAGCATGCAAAAATTAATGATGCATTTTTATTTCCCATACATTACTATTTACTATGTTACTGATGCTGATCATTTAGACTCCCTCCTTATAGAAGGTCATGATTCCACACACTCTCAGTCAACAGAAGGTACCAAAATGTTTTGTCAGCTTCAGCTTAGGCTTCTCAATTCCACAAAGATTATTTAAAAGTAACCATTGGAGTCAGGTTTGGAGGCTCACCCCTGTAATCCCAGCACTCAGGAGGCAGAAGCAGGTGGATCTCTTGGGAGTTCCAGGCCAGCCTTGTCTACAGAGCCAGGACAGCCAAGGCTACAAAATCTTGGTTTCTAGTACTGCAGCTCAGTGGCAATGTGGATGTGTACAGCTCTAGGTGCCAAATCTACCACTGGGGTGGCACGGGACCGCGTGCAATCAGCGGGAAGATACGGATGGAGACTTAGGTTTGTAGCAGAGCACTTGTTTGTGCAAGGTCCTGCCTTCCACTCCAGCACACACCATTTGACTGACGGTGCTGAGGAAGCTGCAAAGGACATGTCAAGAATAAAAAACATGGGGAAAAAGTGCTGCTCATCAAAAATGAAAACAAACCCAAAACACCAAAATCCCCAAACCAAAGAAAAGAACCAAAAAAAACCCCGGCCATATTGGAAAGTTCTAAATCAGTTCTCTTCTGAAGAAAATTGTGAATTCAGTTGTCACCAGAAAAAGTGTTCCCCCTGGTTTTTAGAAAGTAGCTTTTACATTATTTTATTCATGTTATACCCAGCTAGTTACACTACCAACTAAGCAGCTGACAGGTAGTGAGCCTCTAACTACTTCAAGCTTGTCAGAGGAATGACAATGGAGGGGAGGGCTGTTCCTCGGCCTTGACAACAGAATGAACTTTAGGTAGAATCAAGCCAAGATTGACTTAAATCTTATCATTTTAGCTATGTTTAATAATGAACACTGATGACATGTCAGCTTCTAAGATTATTCCATATGCCTCCCTTCATGCCAATGAACCGGGAAGGCAATCCTTCAATGGAGTAGGGATACAGAAAATTCTATCCTGTGTTTATATCAACATTAAATTCTATTCTGCGTACACTTATTTGGATGAATGATCATGTAACACAGCCAAAGGAATGAACTACTTTCCATGCAGCATGCAAGGAAATTCAGGCTTGCTCTCTTACTAATAAACAAATTTATTTTATTCTATCTTCTGTATGCAGGGCACTAAAGTTCTGAATTTAACAATGAAGTTTTAAATATTAAAAACTTTGGGTAGGGCGCTGGAGAGATGGTAAACAAGAGCTGGTGTTGCTCTTCTAGAGGACCCAGGTTCAATTCACAGCACCCAAATGCTAGTTTCAACTCCTCTCTGACCCACGAAATAAAACATTTGTACACATAATTAAAAATTCAATTCACAGCACCCAAATGTTGGCTCCAACTCCTCTCTGACCCGTGCAAATAAAACATTTGTACACATAATTACAAATAAATACTTAAAACTTTATAATGTGGAAAATGCTTTTAAGATTTTATTATTTATTTTTAATTTATGTGTATGGTTTTTTTCTCTAAATGTATACCTGTGCACCCTGTGTGTCTGGTGTCCTTAGGAGTTACTGGATCCCCTGGAATCGAAGTTCCAGATAGCTGTGAGCTGCCAAGTGTGTTCTGGGGATTTAACTCAGGTCCTCAGGGACAACAGCTTGTTCTCTTAAGCACTGAGCCACTTCTCCAGCTCCTAATTTGGGAAATGTTAAATTACAAAATGACTCCTACAAAGATTTTTTTCAGTAATTTCAATAATTTTGTACCATTTCTAATGAGATAAAGAAGAGAAAATGACCACACTGGCAAGGTAATATAACCACTAACTTAAGGGCTTACTCACGGATAACCACTGTAGTAATCACTTTTCAGATAAACATCTTTAAAAATAATTCTTCTGAAAGAGTATCATTCTCTAGCGATCAGACTTCTACTTAAGTGACTGCATTATGGTTTAAAGTCTGATAGATTTTTTTCTTTTCTTTTTTTTAAAATTATCTTAAATTTTTTATATTAATTACAGTTTATTCACTTTGTTGCCCAGTTGTAGCCCCCTCCCTCATACCCTCCCAATCCCATGCTCCCTTAATGCCTGGCATATTTGATTTTACTTTTTTTTTGGGGGGGGGGGGCGTTTCAAGACATGGTTTCTCTATGTAGCCCTGGCCTCCTAGAGACCAGGCTGGTCTCGAATTCAGAGATTTGCCTACCTCTGCCTCAGAGCGCTGGGATTACAAGCATGTACTACCATTTCCTGTTTTTTTTTTTTTTTTTTTTAAATAACCCTTTTCCCCTTTCTTTTTAAATGACTTTTATTTTATTGATTTTTAAACATGGGGTTTCTCTTTGTAGCCCCAGCTGTCCTGGAACTTGTTCTGTTGCCCAGGCTGGCCTTGAATTTGCAGAGATTCACCTAATTTTTTATTTTATGTGCACTGATGTTTTGCCTGCATGTATGTCTGTGTGGTGGTATCAGATCCCCTGGAACTAGAATTACAGATAGCTGTGACCTGCTGTGTGGGTACTGGGAATTGAATCCTCAGCCTCTGGAAGAGTGGCCAGTGCTCTTAATTACTGAGACATTTTTCCAGCCCAGAATTTACAGTTTTTTATTGTTTGTCTGTTTTGTTTTTGGAGACAGGGTTCTCTATTTAACACTCCAGGCTGTCCTGGAACGTGCTCTGTGGACTGGCTGGCCTTGAATGCAGAGATCAGCCTGCCTCTGCCTCTGGAGAGCTAGGAGTAAAGCAACACCCCCTTCAGCTTTAACCTGGCCATAGTCGATAAAAACAACAAAAACAAAACTAGCTCCAAGTGAACTAATTTTCTATTTCTCCTGGAAGTCGATGACACATATCCTTGAACGGTTCTCTAAAATTTTAAAAACTGTACTCCAAGCTGGGCTTAAAGGCTATCCCACCCTGTTTCAAAGTAAACAAACAAAAATAAACCCACCAAAACCATTATTGTATGGATATCCTCTTGTAAACATTCTTTTTAAACACGCACACACACAAAATAGGCTTGAAGTACAAGAATTTCAAGTGTCAACTTTGCTATCTAGATGATCACAGTAAAACACCCAGGTTGTTTATTTAACTAGCAGTAGCTAAGCAACCATGTATGCAAAGTCTCATCTCAGAAGGCCTTTGGGAAGCAACACCTTCTCTACACACTTACTATGGTAAATCAGGGCCAGCATGTATGCAACATGGACTTTAAAGGAGTGGCAGAGCCCTACTGCCATATGGTTAGGTGTGTAACTCTGATAGCCAGAAACTTACATTTGAAGAAGAATCTGAACACAGTCCCCATGTAAAGGAACTTCTACCTTGAGGAAGAGCTGAGACTATCACAATAACAAAATTCTGTGACAATGCTCTAAATAGTCTTAGCTGGGTGTGGTGGCACACACCTGTAATCCCAGCACTCAGGATACTGAGGCAGGAGAATCCTGAGCTTGAAGTCAACCCAGTCCCAGTAAACCAAAACCAAACCAAAATCAGCAAGAATACCAAATACATTGTCAATAAAACTAACTTAAGTTCTTTAAGTAGATGCTACCTAAAGAGAAGATTAAGAAGCTCAATGTGTGGCCACAAATCTTCAACAGAAAAACAGACTGTTTAACCTGGGTGATTGATGGAGGTATTTTAACCAAATTGAAAGGAGAACAAGATTCAAGGAATGATCAATTCTACCCAGTCAGATAGTCTGGGAGGTACACAAGAGTAACTGCATTGTTGAAAACCAGTTTATCAATACACTCACCTCACAAACACTACACTAATGAGCACTATGCCAAGTGCTGTTCTGGGTACTTGAGACACATCACAACAAAGATTCTACCTCATGAAAACGTGGCAGGGCAAGCCCAGCTTCCTGGGACAGATGTGAAATCCTAGCTCTTGAGATGGAAGCAGTAGTACCAAGAGTTCAAGGTCTGTAAGATTACACTGTGAGTTATTAGGCCAGCTAAGACTACTGAGCAAGACTGTCTCAACCACAATTACCACTCCCACCCAAAAGGGGTCTGCAGGTTTAAGTATATCAGAAAACCAAAAAATAATGTGTATGATGGGAGAGGCTCTATGGGGAAATAAAGCAGAGACAGGAGGGAATGAGTACAGGGGAAAGAAGGTTGTGATTCAAACCTCACTAGCAGTTGACAGAAACCTGAAGGGGGTAAGGCAGTGAGGCATGGGTATCTGGGCCAAGAATCCTTCAAAGAGGGAGAATAACAAGTCCAGGAGAGAAAGGGTAGGAAGTGGCCAGAGACTAGAGAATTGGGTCTTTTCAAACACAACAGTGATGGCCAAAAAACACAAGTTGAGACACAGACCAAGACACAGCGTTAGGGGCTAGAAAGATGGCTTAGCAGCTAAGAGCAGTAAACATGCTTCTCAGAACTGGAACTGATTTCTAGCTTCCCCATATCAGCTTACTACTGTCAGTAACTACATAAAATAGATTTAAAAAAAAAAGAAAAAGTAATTCTGGCAGCGCTGGAGAGATGGCTCAGCAGTTAAGAGCATGTACTGTTCTTGCAGAGGGCCTGAGTCTGGTTGTCAGCCCCCGTATCAGCTGGCTCATAGGTATCTGCAACTCCAACTCCAGGGAATGGGATACCCTCTGACCTCTGCAGGCACCTGCACGCACATACACATTCCCACCCACACAAACTCATATACATAACTTAAATCTCAAAGAATTCTGTACAACGAATTGATATACAAAATACTTAGAATAATGTCCAGCACACAGTCAACACGTTAATTACTATGATTCTATAACCTAATTGGAGGTGTATGTGCGCTGTGGGGAGGGAGCATCCTGTTCAACTATAAAAAATTATAAAATCTGAGCTGGAAATTGGCTCGGTGGTATAGTAATTGCCTAGCATGCCCAAGGCCCTGGGTTTAATTTTGGAATCAAAGAAAAAGAATAGCAATTCTCAGTTCAAATAGGTTTGCTTAAAAAACAAAAAAAAAACATTAGAAAAACTTTATGTATACTGTGTTTTGCCTGCAGATGTGTGTTTGCTTAGTACCCACATAAGCCAGAAGAGGGTGTTGGATCCCCTGGAATGGGACAGTTGTGAGCTGCCCTGTAAGTGCTAGGACCATTCTGGGGATCTGTCGCCCTCTTCTGGCTTCCTCAGGCTCCTGAACTCACATGGTGCACATTCCTAATTCAGGCAAAACACTCACACCCAATAAACAAACAAACAAACAAACATTCAACAGAACCTTAAGGCCTCACAGCCCTGCCTGTTCCAAAGGCTGTCTACTTCACCCCTATATTAGATCTGCCTCTTAAAGGCAATATCTCTAAATCTCTTTGCTTCAGGTTCAAATAGTATGAGATATTCATTGTAGGCTGAATAGTTCCTGTACAATATAATATAATTTCGGGTTGGGGATTTAGCTCAGTGGTAGAGCACTTGCCTAGCAAGCCCAAGGCCCTGGGTTCAGTCCTCAGCTCTGGAAAAACGAAAAAAAAAAAAAAAAATACAATCAACAACCTGAGAGTATGAGAAACGTTAAAAGCCTGTCTGGGCAACTTGGCAGCATAGCGGGCCTTCGAGCTCATGGTTCTCCTGTCCCAGGCTGGGATTTTAGGCTTATGCCATCAGCCTTCAACATCGTTAATCCCAGCAAGACAGGACCTCTGAGTTTTGAGACCTTATCTCAAAACAAAAGAAAATGGGGCTTGGTACAATGTAGCCCAGCTGATACTGTACTTGCCCAGCACACAAAGTCCCGATTCAATCCCCAGCACTGCATAAAACTGGGTGCAGTGACAAGCTGGTTATACCAGGCAGGTAGCTGCACTGTTACCACCCAGAGCTACAGATGGCGTTTTGAGGCCACATGGGCTACATCCAACTCATCTAAAAAGTCAATAGGGAGCTTGCCTAGCATGTAAGTCCCTAGGACTGCTCTCTAACACTCCAACAAAACAGAACCACAGACAAATCAACTGTCCTTTGTCCACCTCACCTGCATCTACACAGCACGCACTGTGTCCACTCTTAGTCGTACTACCTCCTCTCCTATCTACGGATTTTGCTTGTTATGCTCACTCTCACCCTATCCAACTACTTTTCTATCCTCTTTGGTGCTGAGGACTCACAAAAGCAACATATACCATCTACTTAGTTTCTGGCTTCTCCACCAGCTTAAGTTTCACTCACATCCTTTTCTTTTTAATTTTTTGAGTCAGGGTCTCACTATTAGCCCTGGCTGGCCTCAACTTTTTCTATGTGGACCAGGGGACTGGAACTCACAGAGGGATCCCCGTGCCAGTCTCCTGAAAGGTGTTCCCCCACTTCATCTTTAACCCACATGTATATGGGACTGTTCTGTCCGCATGTATGTTTGTGTACCATGCATGCACTTAGTCCCTGAAAAGGCCAGAAAAGGGCATCAGGTCCTTTGAAACTGGGGTTAGTCAGTTCTGAGCCACCACATGGGTGCTAGAAATCAAACCCAGGTGCTCTGGACCACTGAGCCATCGTCTCTCCTGCCCTTCATCCACATCTTTTTTGTGATAGGCTTTGGCTGTCCTGGTACTATGTAGATCAAACAGCCCAAAACTCAGAGATCCTTTCCTGGGCTTTGAAGAGGCTCATAATCAAACAAGGCACAGCAGCACAGGTCTCAAATCCCAACACACAGGAAGCTGAAAGAGGAAACCTAGGTCAAGGGCCTGCCTGTGCTACCAAGTCAGACTCTGCCCCAAACACAAAACCAAAGAACCAGCAGATCACATTTAACTGCTTTCCTTTATCACACAGTCTAACACCACATATTCCATACCCTCCAATCCAAAGAGTTAAATATCATCCCAGACTACCTAGCTCTACACATACTCTGAAGTGAGTCATAACATCCAATTTGCCTTTATAGATTAGCTCTACAGACCAGGCTGGCTTCAAACTAGAGGTGCGATTAAAGTGTGATTAAAAGGGTATGTATTCTAGGCATATCTTATCAAACAGTCTTACAGAGAACTTCAGATAAACCTGTCAAGAAACCATTGTTCTCTTTCAGTCTTCTGATTTCAGTAAACAGCACTACTGTTTACAAATGATTAGCAAGGGCAAAAAGATTAATTTTGGCTTCAAATTATATTTCAAATCAGATGACTTTCCACCTACATTTCTAGTTTAGGCTAACTATTTTTTTTTACATCTTTATTATTATTATTCCTTAAAGATTTATTTATTATGTATACAATGTTCTGTCTGCATGTATGCCTGCACACCAGAAGAAGACACCAGATATCATTATAGATGATTGTGAGCCACCATGTGGTTACTGGGAATTGAACTCAGGACCTCTGGAAGAACAGCCAGTGCTCTTAAACTCTGAGCCATCTCTCAAGCCCCTAACTGTATTTTAAATGAACTATTTTTAAAAAGCTACCATACCTGGGCCTGATGGTGTACACTGTAAACCCCTGCACCCCAGGCAGAGGCCTCTAAGTTATGGGCCAGCCTGCTCTATAAAGTGAGTGTCGGGTCAGCCAAAGCTATAAAGAGAAACCTTATCTGTGGGGAGAGGAGGGAAAGTTTACTATGTTCCAAACATTTGTCTCCTTGAAATTCCTTGAATAGGTCAAGTTTGCTCAGACTTCAAGGTCCTTGCATTTGCATTGCTGCTGTCTGAAGTTCTTCCTTTACCTCTCAAAAAATGGTCCTTCCCTGACCTAAATCTTACCTCAGCCACACTGAACCCTGATCTTGCTATATTCCCTCCTTCCAACCTTTTATTTTTATTGAAGGAGGGAGGGTCAACAGGGCTTCACCATGTAGTCCAAGCCAACTTAGAACTCAGCCTCCTGAACACTCTGATTAAAGGTGTAAAGGTTTTACCTTTTTTTCTTCCCTTTCTTTCTTCCCTTTCTTTCTTTCTTTCTTTCTTTTCTTTTCTTTTCTTTTCTTTTCTTTTTGAGCCAGGGTTTCTCTGTGTAGTTCTGGCTATCCTGGAACTATTTTGTAGACCAGGCTGGCCTCAAACCCCCAAGATCTGGCCTCAAACCCCCAGCCTCCACAGTGCTGGGATTAAAGGTGTGTGTCACCAAGCCGGGTTCCAGGTTTCTAACATCATGCCTATCCCTACTGGGTTTTCGCACTTACTACCTAAAACTGTGTATGTATATATATATATATCACTTTACACACTGTGTGTGTATAAATTTTCCAGTACTGGATGTCTTCGTCTTATTTTACTTAAGTAGCAATAACACATTTAAAATGCATTAGCACATCAAAGCATACATTAAAGACTTTTTTGTTTATACTCCAATCTGCCACCCCTCCCCCCCCAAATCCAATCTTTTCGGAAGCACTTCCTAACCTACATAATTTCTTAAGAACTTAATGTACAGAAGTATCTATCAGCTGGGTGTGGTGCTACATGCCTGTAATACTGGCATTACGGGGAAGCAGAGGCAGGTAGGTCTCTGAGTTCTGAGTTCCAGGCCAGCCTGGTATACAGAGTGAGTTCCAAGACATCCAGGGCTACACAGAGAAACCCTGTCTTGAAAAACCAAACAAAAAGTAACTATCACTTCTGCATCTATACCACTGCCCATGCACACTGCAGTATTAGCATCTAGTAATGGATATAAACTGGGTGTGGTGGTGCACACCTTTATTCTCAGTGTTTGGGAGGCAGAGGCAGGTGGCCACTCAACATTTACATTGTGTGTTTCAGGCTACCAAGGTCTCAAAAAAAGAAATGGACACCTGTGCATTTTTAAAAATAGCATTATGAGGTAATAAACCAAGTTTTTTTGGTGTGGTGCTGGAAAACCAACTTAGGGCCCTTGCCTCTGAGGCAAACATACTATCAGGTTATAGTGCTAGCCTTGCAGTATTAAAGAAATATATTTAAGATGAGAAGCCATGTGTAAATTAAAAAGGGGGATGAGGATACAGAGTAGTGCCACTCAAGAGTGCTGATTCAGCATAGTTGAGGTCAAGGTTAATCCTAGCACGCTGAAAAAAAGAGGGGAGCAGGCATGGTGGCCCACACCTTTAATACCATAGGAGGCAAGAGTGGATGTCTGAGACCAGACAGGTTTACAGAGACTTCCGTCCAGCCAAGAATACTCTGTGAGCCTCAAAAATAAATAGATAGATAGATAGAAAGAAAGAAAGAAAGAAAGAAAGAAAGAAAGGTGAGTGGGACTCCCAAATCAATGCTACCGATAAATAACAAACATACACGACGGAAAAAAAAAAATAACCACAGCCGTTTCCTCATAGGGAAGACTATTATGAACTACGATGTCTCAATAACATGAATTGTAATGTGATTTACCATCTTAGGTCACTTATCAGAAAATAAAACTCTATTTGGGGACTAAAAAGCAAAGATGATAGCTTGAAAGAAGTTGTAAAACTAATTCGATTGCTCTCTCTGAAAACTGCAGAGTAGGATGTTTGCACTAAATGACACAACCTCCATGCTCACGAAACTACAGAGAATTCGGTTCCATAAGGCAAACTCCATGGGCACTGTAACTGGCACTAGATACTGCCTTTCAGACAAAACTGAGATAGGTAGATGCACAAATGTGACAATGTGCCCAGTCAGGCAGGCACTGACTAAGTTCCCCAGGACGTAAACTTTTTTTTTTTTTTTTGGGGGGGGGAAGGGGTCCCTAAAGCTGAAAGGGGACAACACTCTCTCCTGGGACTTAGCCACTGATCTCAACAGCTAAACAAATACAAGCGCACATGAGGCAGGCAAAAAAGGAAAAGCGACCCGGCTGCCATGCTCTTAAACGCCACCCTGCCCGCGCTCCGCCCAGAGAAGGCCCAGCTAGCCCGCACCTCCTGTTCGGCCTCCCCTTTCCAAACCCACCGAGCTGAGCTAGTTAAGGTCCCGCCAAACTCCTCTCCCCTCCCCCCAAAGCCAGGAGCTGGGGAGGCCGAAGAGGCTCAGAGCTTCCGTTCCTTCCCCGCCTAGACGGGAAGGGCTGAGCAGCGGCATGGCCAATGCGCCCAGTCCCAGCTGCCCAAACTTTCCGAGCGAAATCACAGCCCGGTTCCCACCCCAGCCCGACACTCACTGGCCAGTCCCGCAGCCACCGCAGCCGTAGCCCCACGTACCGCCACAGCCCCTATTCAGGGCCGCCCCCCCCCACCCCCAGCTGCCTACCCCCTGGGTTCCGGGGCACAGGAAGGAATTACTTCCGTCGCGTCACAGCCGCTTTCGGCAACGCGCGGGAGATTGGTACCTGGCGGGCGGAGACGGGGTCTGTTCGTAGCTAGCGCCTGAAGGAAGTGAGTTGTGTTCTCGCCCTTTATCTTCAGTAATACAGGACAATTTAAGAGACATCGCTAGCAAGTCTCAACCAATGAGATTCTAGAACTTCCGGATTCCCGGCATGCTGCGCCGTCTGGATCCAATTTCGGCCGTGAAGAGCTGAACCGGCGAGGCAGCAGTGCATCCTGGGATATGTAGTTTCTTACGACGTTACGGCTAGTACGACGTGACACTGCATCATGGGACTTGTGGTTTTCCGTGTGTGGTATTGAAATTTTTGGTGGTCTTAAAGCTTGTCGTCCCCCGCCCCCCACGCCGTTTCTGTTCAGCCAGGAGATGAAAGATTACCAAAGAAGCCTAAGATGTGGAAATGCCGTATGTGTGCTAAAGGAGATCGTACTATTGAGGAAGCAGCATCTGGCCTTTGTGAGAAGCAATACTCAGCGGCGAGCATCTTAACCAGCTCGGGGAATGTCTTTGCCTCTTTTCCTCTCTTCCTGGTATAGGTCAGTGTTTACTGAAAATATGCCACACCCACCACTCTCCTTTTGATTACAGTATAGCTGCCTGTCACGATTACTCAACTCAGGACCCCATCATTCTGGCTCCTCACCCCCAAATACCCACCCATTACGAACCCCCTCAACCAAGCCTTTGCATTGGCTTTTCCGTGGTTACCTAGGCACCTTTCCTAGAAAGCTGAAAACAACGGCAACAACGACAACCAGCTCAGTTAGTTTTCCCTCTGCTGTTTTTATGGATTGGGCTTGCAAACACAGATTCAAGCTGTCTACAGTTACTCAGCTCCTTGCAGTCGTGTAATAGTAACCCAAAAAGGAAATATGTGTGTGCGATCTTGGAGTTTCTAGGACTAACGACGCTTTCCAAAAGGGCTTTGTTTGTTCTCGAATCTCCGCCCCCCCCCCCCCCCATACAGGGTTTCTCTGTGTAGCCTTGGCTGTCCAGGACTCCCTTTGTAGACCAGGATGGCCTCGAATTCGCTGAGATCCGCCTGCCTCGGCCTCCCCGAGGGCTCGGATTAAAGGCATGAGTTACCTCGCCCTGCAGTTCTTGAATTCTTAAAAGAGCGTCCCCAATATAACCCTGCTTAGCTTGGCGTTATACGGCCCAGACTAGCCACGTATTTGGGGCCATTCCACCTCCTCCCTCTGCCAGGATTACATAGGGAAATAGCAGAAAATGATTCTATTGTAGCCTCAGAGTGCTGTTAGCTCCGAAAGGTTTGGCTTTCGCCCCTCCGTCCCTTCCACCCCTCCCCACGGGGTTTCGTAGCCCTGGCTATCCTGAACTCGTGTTTTTTGTAGACCAAGTTGTCCTTGAACTCACAGAGATCCACCTCCCTCTGCTGCGTGCTGGGATTAAAGGCATACACCCCCATGCCCGTTTTTTTTTTTTTTTTTGTTTTGTTTTGTTTTTGTTTTTGTTTTTGTTTTTTGGTTTTTGTTTGTTTTGTTTTTAGTTGATTTGGCAGATAGGTATGCCTTTATGAATCGAAGGCAAAAATGGAGCATGTTGCCCTGAATTTTCAGAGGCTTTGGAGAAATAATAAAAGTGTTGTGGTTGAATCCATAGCTCAAAATAGTTTCATGGGAAGAAACCATGAAAGGCATTAGGTAGCAGAAGATAAAACTAAGGGAAAATCTGAACAAACGTAGAGAAACCAGAGTTAATCTCTCTTTAGGCAGTAAGGGTGGGGCCAGACTTCAATTGTGTATTTTGACTCTGGATTATTTTTATGGCGGAGGGGGAGGTAAAGAAGTAGGAAGAGAGTGGGTTGACTTTGCTGGGTTAGCCTGAAAAAAAGGGGCGGAGGGTTGTGGAGATATAGCTCATAGGGTAAGAGCACTGGCTGCTCTTACAGAGGTCCTTAGTTCAATTCCCAGCAACCACATGGTGGCTCACAACCATCTATAATGAGATCTAGTGCCCTCTTCTGGCATGTAAATCTTAAAAAAAAAAAACAAAAAAAAAAAACAAGAGTCCCTCTTAAAAGACACATAAAAAGCCACTGGGCCAGACAACTGGGTAGTATTCCTTTCTTGGAGCTTAGGAGGAAGGCACATTTGTTCCCTTTGTGTGGGAGAAGCAGGCAGATCTGTGAGTTGGAGGCCACCTGGTCAACATTGCCAGCTTTCAGCCTGGCCAAGTGCAAGACAGTGAGACTCTGTCTCAAAGAAAAAGAAGGAAGGGAGGAAGGAAGGAAGAAAGGAAGGAAACCTATACATGTTCTGCTTGCTCCTTTTTGAGTTTCTTTATACTTTGTGTGTGTGAGAGAATGGCTCAGGATGCCTTTGGAGACGTTTGATCGTCAGGGGTACAGTAGCTCCCTAATTAAGCTCACCAAAAGCTTAGAAGGGCCCCACCGCTCTCAAAACAACCAGCATCACTAACCTAACTTGCTTTGTAAAACTAATTTTAAATGTCTGCTAAAGCTCAATGTTACTAGTTACGCATATGCCCCATCATGACTGTGATGATTGCCTAAGTCGTTTTCCAGATTTTGAAATTGGAAGCTGGTTTTGTTTTGTTCAAAGAGTGACTGTCTGACTAACCTGGGGCCTGAATTCTCAGCTGTCAGCCCCCAAGCAAGTCAGCTGTCTTTAGGGACAAACTCTTAGATTAATGAATCTTCAAAGTATTTTTTTCTTAAAAAATACTTTTTTTAAGTATTTTTTGGGAACTCAGTTGACAACTCCTTGGCTGCTTCCCTCGTGCGCGCGCGCACACACACACACACACACACACACACACACACACACGGATCATGCCCAGAAGCATTTTTGTGCCAGCCATCATTATGATCCATACTGACTATGCCCACAAATGTTTCCCTGTTTTTCTTCTTTTAAAAAAAATTTATGTGTATAAATCTTTTGCCTGTATGCATTCCATGTGCATGCCTGGTGCTCATGGAGGTCAGAAGAAGGCATCAGATCCCCTAGAATTGGAGTTATGAATTACAAGGGATTGTGAGCCCATGAATGCTGGGAATTGAACCCAGGTCCTCTGCAAGAACAAGAACTCTAAACTGCTGAGCCATGTCTCCCATCAGGCTTCCCCAATAAGCTGAATAGTCAATTTATAGAACCAGAAAGTGTGTGGCAAGGGTGTCTACATTCATCAGGTCAGTCTTTTATAAAAATAAAAGACTATCCACCATTCAAGGCAGTCTTTCATGCAAATGCAGAACCATACTTGCACCATATTGGTAGTCTTTTCTTCAAATGGTGAACTATGTTGGTACTAATCTTAGACTTTCTGCTGGTCTAAATGGCTGGTAAAAATGGCTTCAGGGTCATCTAGAGTTCATGGCAAAGAGCCCCGTGTAAATTGAAACAGTCATGACTGGAATATAGTTTCTTCAGGAGCCAGAGTTGTGCTTTGGCAGCAAGCAGTTATTGTCCTGTAGTTTCTTCAAGGCATTTGTGGAGTAGTCATAGCAGCTTGAGGGCATTAGGGCAATTTGGCTGGTTATTTAGCTTGATAAGCCTTTGCTCAAAGCATCCAGGGCACGAGGGAAGCAGCCAAGGAGTTGTCAACTGAGTTCCCAAAAACCTTACTTTATTTAAAGAAAAGATAAGGATGGACAGGAACACATAATAAACAGTGTTTTTTTAAATTATTTAATAGTGTTCAAAAGTGCTTATGTTATATTTAAGTACAACTAGGATAGGTGGATTGTTCTAACCGGAATCATCTCTTACCAGCTAGGGTAATGTTTTTCACCCTTCTTAATGCTGTGACCCTTTAGTACAGTTTCTCATGTTGTGGTAGCCCCAACCATAAAATTGCTACTTCATAAATGTAAATATCTGTATTCTCCAGTGGTCTTAGGTGGCTCCTGCGAAAGGGTCACTCAACTTCAGGGTTCATGATGCACAGGTTAAGAACTGCTGAACTAGATGATCATTTTTCCAGATGCAGCTGACCGTGAAGTTAACATGAAGACATTCAGGGCATATTTACCAAGTTCACCTTTGGAAACTTATGTAGCATTTTGTAAAACAGTGTATTTCTATTACATTACAACATCAGTATTTCTAGCTTACTTTTAGGTGTTTGTCCCATTACACATTTACACCATGGTTTCGCAAATTTGTCCAGTAGCTGTACTCCCTCTCCTCTGTTTTTGTTTTTGTTGTTGTTGTTGTTGTTGTTGGTGGTGGTGGTGGTGGTAAGAGTTGCAGTTGAGACAGGGTTTCCCTGTGTCTTAGCTGTCTTGGAATTCTGTAGACCAGGCTGACCTGGAACTCAGACATCCCCTCCACCTCTGTCTCCCCTGTACTGGGGTTAAAGGCAAGTGCCACCACACCCAGCTTCTCCCTCTACTTCTAAATCCTGGTACTAGGCACTAAGTGTCATCTGCCTTTGGGATAACAAAACCAACTCTGACCTCAAAGGAGAGAGACAATAATTTATTCTGTAACCAAATGAGTCACCATGGCTGGGAAACACAGATTTAGGTCACCCCGAAGTTCCACGTTCCAGGGTAGAAGAAGTTCCATGAAGCTTTCATAGTAACTGAGCAAAGAAAGTCATCATTCAAGACACTTTTCCATATTAGTGTAAACATTGGGTAGGTTAAAACAAAGTGGGGAAGCCAATTTTAGGCTTCAGCTTCTATTTGACAGTACTCTTAGCTTTTTGGTTGGTTGGAAAACTACTAGTACCTTGTGCATTCCAGATGAAACTCTGTGTGTTCCACGTGATTTATCTGAAGGTCATGAAGATGTTAGCTACAGAGGACAATAAATGGCTATTAAGAGATCTGTAGAACCGGATGGTTGGTGGCACACAGTTTTGATCCTAGCACTTGAGAGGCAGGTGAATCTCTGAGTTTAAGGCCAGCCTGGTCTACAGAGCAAGTTCAGGACAGCTAGGGCTATACAGAGAAACCCTGTTTTGCAAAAACAAGAAAGAAAGAAAGAAAGAAAGAAAGAAAGAAAGAAAGGAAGGAAGGAAGGAAGGAAGGAAGGAAGGAAGGAAGAAGGAAGGAAGAAGGAAGGAAAGAAGGAAGAAGAAAGGAAGGAAGGAAGGAAGGAAGGAAGGAAGGAAGGAAGGAAGGAAGGAAGGAAAGTTCTGGGGTCTGGAGAGATGGCTCAGTGGTTCTGACTATTTTTCCAGAGGGATTTAGGTTCAATTCCCAGCACCCACATGGCAGCTCACAACTATCTGTAAACATTCTCATACAGACATATATGTGCAGGCAAAACAACACACAGGTCAGTGGTGTTGTCTCACACCTTTAATCCCAGCAGTAAGGAGGCAGAGGCAGGTGGATCTCTGTGAGTTCAAGGCTACCTTAGTCTACAGAGCGAGTCCAGGATTGCCAGTACTACACGGAGAAACCCTGTATCGAAAAACCAGGAGAGATCTGCAGATGGCCCATAATAAATTGGCTCCGGATTTGGAACCCTGTAGATTGTCCGCATCAGTGCATGGTAGGCAAGCTGCATTCTCCACCACGACACGCTATGTATTTAATAGGCAAAGATGGGCAAAGAACAAATGTATATGTGGATGTGAATATCTGTCAAAAAACCAAAACTATACCATTTGAAGAAGTTCCATTTTCTCCTATATCGGTAGCTGAATTAAATTATCACTCATTTTGTTCACAGCATATAAAGTATTACATTCTTTTTGGGCTGATAGGCTACAATTATTTCTGCGAGGCTAGCATTATTTTCCTAAATCACGTTTTAGCATCTAGAAAATGATTTCCATGAGGATGAAATGTTTAGCTAGGCTTCTGCGCTTTGTCTTTTTCACAAGCCTACCTATTCTGTACTCGCACATGGCCATAAAGCCAACCAAATACTCTGAACTTGGGGCTCAATCTAGGCAGGGGGATGGAATTTGCGGATCCTTTGCTGCCGGGAACCCAGTAGCTGGAGGAAGTTGCAGGCGGGCCACGTAGTCTGCGTACGTGCGGACACCAATCCGGCTTCTTGTTCAGTTTGAGGGGGCGGGGCCTCGCCGCTTTGGAGGTGTGCTGTAGTGGGAGTTTTTTTTTCTGGCGTCCTTGGCCTCTGCTGGAGGCGGTCATCCTCCACACCAAACAGCATGCTGCTGCTGGCTTTGGGCGGCCGGTGGGCTGCGGGACTGCGGCCCGCTGGGAGGAAGACGACGTGGTGTGTGGTCTCCGCTCTCCGAGTTGCCGGGGTTGCCTCCCGGCGTGCGGCCTCCCGCTCCGGGCCCTCGCGGCTGCTGCACGGCGGGCTCCTGCCGCTTGTGCAGCCTTACGGGCCCCCCGGGCGAGCGCAGGTCGGCCTCCGTGGGCTGGGGGTGGCGGGGAGCGGTCACAGCGTGCGGTCTGGGGAGCTTCGATGCCCCCGGGCCTGCCTGTCCTGAGAGCCAGTGCGAGGGGATATTTCCTGGGTAGGCCCGGGAGGACCAGGCCTCGGCCGGGACGGGCTGCAGCTGGCAGTGCAGGGATGAAAAGCCTGTGGAAGGAGTAGGTGGTTCTCCTTTCCTGGCTGTTCAAGCACCGCAGATGGTTCCAGATGGAGTGGTTTGTGATAACACGCCCGGCTTAGTACCCCCCCCCCCCCCGCCCTTTGATTGGTGTTTTCGAGACAAACTCTGCCTGTTTTGTAGCCTCGGCTGGCCTGAATTCGCCGTGTAGACCAGGTTGTCCGCGAAATCAGAGATTCGCTTACTTCTTCATTCCCCAGAGCTAGCACTAACGGTGTGTGCCACCACGCAGGGACTAGTTTCTTTCCTACCTTAGAGCTGAAGGTCAGAAGGGTTGATGGGCTAAGAAATTGAGAGATGCAGAAAAAGACTAGCCTCATTTTGAGTTCTGTGTCACTTGTCTCTTTTTAAAAATTTCTTTGATTACCAAGAAAAAGGTAGGGTATGGATGTTACTCTCCTTCTCCTTTTTAGGGAAAGTCTTTAAAATACACACACACACACACACTGGGCCTCAAAAGGTGGCTCAGTGGTTAAGAGCACTGGCTGCTAGGTTCAATTCCCAGCACCAACATGGCAACTCATAAACTGTCTGTAACTCCAAGATCTGACTTCCACAGATATACATGCAAGCAAAACACCAATCGACATAAAATAAAATTATAAAAAATAAATACTGGATATTAATATAAGCACAGACTTTATAACCATAGGATTAACAGGATAACCCTAGCCTGTGAAGGCTCTTCAGGACCCTAATCGCTGAACGAGTGTGTGCACACACTTGTATACACCCACCTGCCAAACAAAACAAAAACCTCAATTTACAGTGTTTTGTTCCGATTGTTGTTTGTTTTTGTTTTTTGAGACAGGATTTTTCTATGCAATAGCCCTAACTTTCCTGGAACTGCCTCTGTAGGGCAGGCTGGCCTTGAACTCACAGAGATCCACCTGCCCCACTGCCTCCTGAGTGCTTCCATGCACCACCACACCCTGTCTGTTTTGCCAACAGTTATTTTTGCATATGTAGTATATGTTTGTGTACATACATTTGGAGGTCAATGTTAAGTGTCTTTTTTTTTTTTGGAGACCAGACCTGCCTCAACTCAGAGATCAGCTTGCCTCTGCCTCCTGATTGCTGGGATCAGGAGTATGTGCCAGCATTGCCCAGCAAGATTTTTATTTTATATGTGTTGGTGTTCTGCCTTCATGTTTATCTGTGTACCACATGTATCAGTGCCCTTCGAGGCCAGGAAAGGGTGTTGGATCCCATGGACTTGGGTTTCAGAAGGCTGTAAGCAGCCATAAGCCCTCTTTAGCACTGAGCCTCTCCATCCCAAAACCTGATTTTTAAGAGAATAGACAGATCCGTCTGAATCTGGAATTCTCTGAATGGCTAGAATGGCTGGCCAGTGAGCCCTGGGGATCTAGGTTACTTTGGAGAATTCTTTATGTGGCATTTTAACAAGTTTTCTTATACTTAAACAACTTTGATAAAAATTTGTTCAAATAGCCAGTTACTCAAGGGTTTCTTGTTTCAACAGCTCCCTGTTTGTTGGGAAAGATGTGTCCGCTGCTTACATACACAGCCTGATAAACCAGAAGATGGGAGGCTGATTTATACTGGCAACCTGGCCCGAACAGTCCTTGGTGGGTAATGTGAAGTGAGGTTATTTCCTTATTTTTCTTTTTGAGATGCTAATCTAATTACATTTATTTCTTGCCTTCAGATCTTCCCATATGCCCATCCTCACTCTCTTTTAAATTCATGGCCTCTTATTTTCACTAATTGTTATTGTGTGAATATACATGGATATGCATCTATATTCCTAAATATAACCTGTTGAGCCCATACAGTGTTACTTGTTTGTTTTCGGGGCTGACTGTTTTGTGATGGAAAACCAGTTGTTGTGTTCTCCCCTGGGGAGGACCACTTCTCCCACACCCAGCTTTACTCAGTTGCCTATAGTCTTTGTTTGGGATTGAGACCACCTGGTCTTGCCCCTGTCCAGTAAACCTTTTAAAGCATATGTTAGCCTATGTTTTTAGCATCACTCAATTATTATAGCATGTTGAAGACTGGTTTTTCCTTGATGCCTATCGACACAACGTAGAGGCTAAGACTTACCTTTTTAAGAGTTTTAAAGATGTTTGAAGGCTGAATTGTGTTTGTTGTGATCTTACAGCTAGACATTGAAGTGTCTTTTCTTTGGCCATTTGTCTGAGAATATTTAATAGGAAAATAAAAATATTTTACTATTCTAAGGAAAGTGGAAGAATGTTCTGGTTTGTACTGAAGTATCCCTCACAAGCTCATGTGTTAATCTACCCTAACTCTCCTCTTTTGAGAGGCCTTTAATTTCAGAAGGGCCCTCTCCTAGAAGGGGATCATGGCTCCTGGCCCTGCCTCTCTGCTTCCAGTTTGCCAGGAATGTCTTCCACTCTATGCAGTTGTTGGTGCGATGTTGCCCACAGGTGTAGGATTAAGAAACTACGTTGAAAACTCATCTCAAGAGTCAAAGTTGCCCTTTCCTCCTTCTAAGTTGCTTTTCTTCGGTATTTGGTCATAATACAAAAAACTGTGACAAAAAGCCTGGCAACAGCTCTTCTTTGTTGTTTTTTGAGATAGGATTCCTCTATGTAGTCCTGACTGTCCTACTTGCCTGGCCCTGGTAATATCTCTTTAGAATGGTTGAGGCTGGGTGTGGTGGTGCAAGCCTTTCGCTCAAGGGTCTATCTGTGAGTTTGAGGCCAGTCTGTTAGAGGTAGATAGTGAAACTTTGTCTTCAAACAAAACAAAACAAACAAACAAAAAACAGGTGATGGGCCTATGTAAACACATCTGGCCTTATGGTAGTTCAGGCTTTTAATCCCAGCACTCAGGAGGCAGAAGCAGGTGGATCTCTGAGTTTGAGGCCAGCCTGCTCTACAGAGTGAGTCCAGGACAGTCAAGGCTATACAGAGAAACCCTGTCTCAAAAACAAAACAAAAAACCTTACTGAGTTGAAGGTCTATTGATTTGTGCTGTATTCTTACTTGACTCTTCTGCAAAGGAGAAAGTAGAGGATTTCTTTTTGTATGGATAAGCTATTATGCCTGTGGTAACCCCTATGGGGTTCAAAGTTCTACAGTTGTGGAACAGGACAGATAGATGGCTTAGTGGTTAAAAGCACTGGCTGCTCCTCAACAGGACCAGGTTTCAATTCTCAGTGCCCACATGGAGGTCTATCATCATCTATAACTCCAGTTCCAGGAGATCTGACTCCTCGTCCCCACAGACAACAGGCATACATGGGGCGCACAGACATGTAGGCAAAGCATCCAACACATAAAATGATTTGAAAACTTTTTTAGCTCAGCACTGGTGGCACACACCTTTAATCCCAGGATTCAGGAGATAGAGGCAGACAAATCTGAGTTTGAGGCTAGCCTGGTCTACAGATCAAGTTCCGGGACAGCCAAGGATGCACAAGAGAAACCCTGTCTCAAAAAACAAAAAACAAAACAGAACAGAAAGTACAATTATAATTTGTGGAGAAAGTTACTGGCTGAATCTTTCAGTGTTGTGGGTAGTAGAAAGTTGCTATGTCAGAGGCCATGCTGCTTTCTGTGTGGGAACTCGGGGAGAAACCTGGAGAGAGTGCTATGATTCTGGAAGTTACCCAGCTGCCACATGGCTAACTCTTGAAGGCTTTTCCTCAGTTAGTAAATCAGCCACAAATAATTAGGTACCATATTAGCTAGGCATTGTACCAGGGGCCTTGTGTCAGGGATACTACTTAAAGGTAATACAGAATCTTAAAGTTGATAGGAAAGAAAAGATGAATATGATATATAAAAAAATGACAATCATGTTTGCAGTGTTATAAATTAGATATGACTTCAGGTTAAGGAGAGAAAGCTAGAGCAGAATGGTAGCATCAGGATGGCTTTCAGTTAGGTCTTGTCTGATGAGTCTGAATATGAAGAGATATGAAAGGGCACGTACTTCCCAAATGCACAAGTACAAGCAGAGGCTGGAAGGCTGTCATGGTTCATATTGACTGTCAGCTTGAAGGGATCTAGATGAGACTCTGGGCGTGTCTGTGAGAGATTGCCTCACTTCGTTGAGATGTGGGGTCCTGGGCTGAATAAAGGAGAAAGCACGCTGAGCACATGGATCACTCTGTTCCTGACTGTGGATGGAGTGTGATTGGCCACATCAAGTTCCTGCTGCCACACCATCCTATCTAGTAGTTTCTGTTTAATATCTGAAAACAGTAGAAATGTATTTTTTACAGTTCTGAAGGGTAGAGGTATAAAAGTGAGATGTGTGCTGGGCCATGCTTTCTTGAAGGCTCTAGGAAGTCTTCTTAACCCCATCCAGCTTCTGGTGGCTCTGGTAAGCCTTAGCATTCCTGGCTTGTAGCTTGCCCAACTGTGACTGCTGCTTGCTCTTCCTGTGGCAGCCTTCCCTGCATCTCTCTTTCTTCTGTCCTTATAAGGGCATTTTCGTTAGCTATTGAGCCCACCTTAATCCTGCATGATCTCATCTTGTTCTTTAGATCTGCAAAGAGCTTCTTTCCAAATAAGGACACATTATGAAGTTCTAGTTAGGCATCAGTTTTAGGGGACACTAACTTATTACAGTGTAACAAAAGTAATAGGGAAAAATATTTTGGAAGGGGTAAGGAATGTTAAATAGGAGGCAACATAGTCCTCATTTATCTCTTGCACACTGATGTCATATCAGCCCTCATGTATCTCTTGCCACTGATGTGGGAAGAAGAAGGGAACTATTTTTAAATTACTAGCAGTATAATTAAGCTTCCAGTCGTTAGTAGTGTGTAAGAATGGCTGCTTAGTTCCGGCTCCCTGAGCAGTAAGAAGTCAGACTTCTGTTTCTGTCGTTTTGGGGGGAAGGGAGTAACATAAATTTTAATTATAGGTATCTTATGAATGACATTTTTGTACCAGTTTTCTTAAATTGTCCCAATTTTCTTAAGGGCCATTTACACACTTGCCCTTAAAATGTCAAGGTTTTTTTTTTTTTTTTTTTGTCATTCCACAAACATTTTGTACGCTGGGGATAGTAATTCTTCTGATAATAAGTTTGAAGTGTTTCTGTCAGGGACAGGCTGTAGCTCAGACTGGCCTCAAATTCTTAAAATAGGCTGGACTTGAACTGATTCTTTGCTTCCACCTCAAACGCTGAGATTATTGGTGTCTACCGCATATTGATTTTCTTTCATTCTTTTCTTTCTTTCTTTCTTTCTCTCTCTCTCTCTCTCTCTCTTTTAAAATATAGTCAGACTGTCAGTTTTTTGTTGTTCCTGGAACTTTAAGAAAGATTTATTTTAAATGCGTAAACCTGTGTATGTGTGTCTTGCGGGGGTTGGTTTTTCAAGACAGGATTTTTCTGTGTAGCCTTGACTGTCCTGGATTCATTATGTAGACCAAGTTGGCCTTGAACTCACAATGATCTGCCTGCTTCTGCCTCCTGAGTGCTGGGATTACAGGTGTGTGCCACCATGCCCGGCCTGTCAGTGTATCTTTATGGGAGCATGTACACGTGAACACAGGTGCTCTCAGAGTCTGGAGCTGTTGGAACCCTTGGGGGCAGTTGTGAGCCACTGGACATAGGTGCTGGGAACTGAGTTTTCCGAGAGCAATACCATGTGTCCAGGCCCCCCACAGACCCTCGGTGTAGTGGGAGCTGGTGTGACTTCTGCTTTCACCTTCCTTGTTCTGGGGTTGCACGTGTGCCATTATGGCCAGCTTTGTTTCTGTATTTTGAGTCATATTTAAATTTTTTCTATTTCAGGTTAAAGGTCTTCATGGATACCTCTGTGATTTTTTTTTTTTTTTCGACCCACATTTAAATCTCTAAACTCTTTGGACTTTTCATGGCTTATGGTATAAGGATGAATTGAATTTTTATCTTTATTTATTTAGTTAGTTTTTGGTTTCTTGAGACAGGGTTTCTCTGTATAGCCTTATCTGTCCTGGACTCGCTTTGTAGACCAGGCAAGTCTCGAAATGACAAGAGATCCACCTGCCTCTGCCTCCCTGAGTGCTGGGATTACAGGCAAGTGCCACTGCGCCCGTCTCATGAATTTAATTTTATCATTTTAAAAAGTTTTAAAAATTGTATTTGTGTGTGTGACTAGAGGTTGATATCAGGTATTCTCTTCCATTGCTCTTGTTTCGTTTCCATTCTGTTACTGCTATACAGTATTCTGACTAAAAGCTATTAATGGGTTCAGGAAAGCTGCACATAGACCACTCAAACACCAGACTTAGACTGATGGAAGTTTATTGAATTCTGAGCAAAAACTGACTGTCAGCGCTGTAATCTGGACTCGGGAGCCTGATTACGATGTTGGTCTGTTTCTGAGGCAGGCTTTTTATACAAAAAAAGTAACCAGGTAACTAGGTGTAAGAAGTGGTGGGGGGGACAGTATTACATCATTTTGATTAGCTAAGCATAACTGATTTTGTTCCAAGTGTATTGTAGCTAGACAGAGCACTGTAAGATGATTGGCTGGGATTTGGGATAGGGGAGCTCTTAGGAGCTTTCCAGCTTTCTGGGAATAAGGAACATAGCAGGATGTGGGGTCTTAACTCTGATAGAACATATATTTTATGTTTAACTCAAGCAGAACATACATGCATTTATCATCCATTTTATTCTAGGCAACAAGTACTGAACTATTGAATTGTATCCTGGCCTTAGGCACATAGGGAGACTTGAAGGCAAAATGACTTCTGATATGCTAAAGGCAACAGCAGGTGTTAACGGAGGAGCTAAGGTTATGCCAAGAACTAAAGTCTGAAAGGAGGGGCTATAGAGTTCAAGCAGGTTACAACAAAGCACCTTGGGGTGGGGGTTAATAGATTTATTTCAGCTTACTGGTTTGCAGTCCATCTTTGAGGGAAGTTAGGGCAGAAGCTCAACCAAAACATAAAGCACAAACCTTGGAGGGTGCTGCTTGCTGGCTCATGCACAAGCTCGGGATAAGCTAGTTTTTTTTTTTTTTTTCCTTTTTTTTTTAAAATAGTTTATTTAATTTTTATTTTATGTGCATTAGTGTGAAGGTGTCAGATCCCTTGGAATTTGTGTTACAGACAGTTGTGAGCTGCCATGTGGGTGCTGGGAATTGAACCCGGGTCCTTTGGAAGAGCAGACAGTGCTCTTAACCACTGAGCCATCTCTTCAGCCCCAGGCTAGGTTTCTTTAGCAACCCAGGACCACTAGGGTGGGCTGAGCCCTCCTATATCAGTTAATAATCAAGACAGTCCCCTCTAGACCTGCCAGTCTCTGCTGAAATTTCCTTCTCGGCTGACTAGACTGTGCCGAGTTGATGGTTAAAGGTGGCTACGACAGATTTCTACCTTATTTTTTGAGACAATCTCTCATTGAACTTGGAGGGTTTTGTTGTTTTTACTTTTGTATTTCTGTGTATGTGTAGCTCTGGCTGTCCTAGAACTCAGTCTATACTAAATATGACTTCAGGTGGTCTGTCTGCCTCTGCCTCTTGAGTGCTGAGATTAAAGAAATGAAGGTGCCATCATGTCGAGCTTGGAGATCATCATTTGCTTAGACTGGCTGGCTAGCAAGCTGCAGGATCTGCCTGTCTTTGCCTCCCCAGCTCTGGGGTTACAGGTGTGTGCTCCCATGCTCACCTTTTATGTGAGTGCTAGAGCTCTGAGCTCAGGTCCTCATGCCTGTACAGCAAGTACAACACCCACTGAACCATCTCTCCAGCCTTCCGTGCTCTGGAGACAGGGCCTCACTCTGTAGCGCAGGCTGGCCTTAAATATAATGCTTTAATCCTAGAGTCCTTGCCTTTGTAGTACTGGGTTTGCAAGTTGAGCCACTTAGCTTCTCTTTTTCTCATTTTTTAAAATTTTTTTATTTTTTTTTTTTATTTTAAGATTTCAGCTGTGCTGGGGAATCAACCTTGAACAGCAAGCATGTTAAGCAAATATGTACTATAGAGTACTTATACCTATTCTCCTTCCTTCTCTCACTTTTTTTTTTTCTTTTTTAGAAGTAGTCTAACCATGTAGTCAGTCTATGGTGGCCTCAAAATTGTGATCCTTTTGCCTCACCAATTCTTATTTGTTAAATGGAGCAATGATAACAATTATATGCTTTTTAAAAGCTGTATTTATTTATTATTTATACAGTATTCTGCCTCCATGTATACCTATACCCCCCAAAAGGGCACCAGATCTCATTATAGATGGTTGTGAGCCACCATGTTTTGCTGAGAATTGAACCCCAGACCTTTGGAATAATGGCCAGTGCTCTTAACCTCTGAGCCATCTCTCCAGTCTCCAATTATATACCTTTCTTAGAGCTTTTTTATGTATTTTATGAGAGAATAAGTAAATTGCTTAAGACAGAAGATGTAGAACCTGGCACATAAGAAGCACTTTGTTGTGTTTTGCTTTTGTTATGGATGGAATGATTATTGTGTTAGCTTTGTCAGCGTTGTGACCAAGTGCCTTTGGTATAATATTCTTTTGGAATTCTCTTGTTCATTCAAATGCTGATTTCTTTCCTCCACTCTCTGGTTTCAATCTGGACATTGCATTGTGATACTTAATCTAAGCATCACCTGTCTCAACTTTGTGTAAACATAGTTTATACAAACATAAACATAGTGATTTGGGTATACAGCTGGTTTAGGATTAACAGCAGCACTACTAAAAGATATATCAATAGTAAATATTAATGTACTTTACAACAAATGGTGCCCAACTAATCTAATTATCCACACTCTTTAAATCATACTTTATCATAATTTGGTGGGAGGAATAAGCTCCCAGTGATATAACGTAAACTTAAAACCTAAAAACTCCCAGGTCATTTACTGTCTCATTAAGAGAGACTCTTAAACAGGCCCTGGAGCAAAAGGCAGCCTCCTGCCTTTTTGTTGTAATGGCGTTCGATAATTATTATTAATTATCTTTTAGTAAAGCCCCACATTGGGTGCCATTTGTTGTACATTAATATTTGCTATCAATAAATCTTTTAGTAGCACTGCTGTTATTTGTGTACCCAAATCACCACACAAGAGTGGGATTTATTTAACCTAGATCACAATGCTGGGCAATAGTTGTTCCATCCTAAACCTCCAAGCCCACAGTTTCCTACCATTCAGATTTTACCCATTATATTTGCTTTTAGTGATATCTTAGGTCCAGTGCATCTCTCCAAGTCGTTCCAAGACCTCTCACCCTGCCTCTGCTCTCCTCTGCCAACCACTCCTTCCTGTCCTCTGGCTCCTCCTCTCTCCCTCCTTCTCCTTCCTCTCCTTTGCTCAACATTGTGGCTGGTTGTTTTATTTTGGCAGTTATGGATGGAATGATTATTGTATTAGCTTCGTCAGCACTGTGACCAAGTACTCAAGAAAACTATTTCATGGAGAAAAGATACATTCTTGCTCACAGTTCTAGAAGGTTTGGTCATGGTTGCTTGGTCCCATACCCTTGAACAGAACATCAGGGAAGTAGGAGTATATGGCAAAGGAACTAATTCTTCATGACATAGGAGAAAGAGACAAGGGGCCAGGACAAGGACCTGTCCCCACCAACTGACTGACCTGAATACAACAGCCAAGTTCCACCTCCTGAAGTTTCTAAAATTTCCCAAAATTGTGCTACCATCTAGAGACCAAATATCAGCACATGAAACTAGAGGACATTTTTCATTCAAACTGTAACAATGGTATAGGAAGAAAAGGTTGGAGGAGTTAATAGGATAGATCGTTTTAGAAAACCTAGTTATTAATCTGCTTCTATTGTTTTTTCTCTTTAGGTGTGAAATTTTTTTCTTATTCTACAAGTATGATCAGCCTTGCATTCTTACCATACCTTTTTTCACAAAGTAATGTGGTCTTTGGAAGTCAGCCTTTGCAAATCTTATTTTATGGAATCATGGGAAGCTTCACAGTGATCACTCCCATGCTGCTTCACTTTCTTACAAAAGGCTATGTCATCCGGTTGTACCATGAAGCCACAACCGACACTTACAGAGCCATCACTTACAATGTTGTGCTTTCGGAGACCAGCACAGTGTTTCACCAAAATGACGTGAAGATTCCAGAGAGTGCACATATATTTACCACCTTCTATGCTAAAACAAAATCACTGTTAGTTAATCCAGTGCTCTTTCCAAACCCTGAAGACTACAACCATCTAATGGGTTATGACAAACCATTCACTTTTGATATGGAAGAAGTCAGTGAAAAGAAACCGCAAGAGGATGACAAATGAACCTGACCTTGCTTACTTTTAAGTGTCATGTATATTTCAGTGTATAATAAGATTGTTTTTATTTTGTTATTGTTAGTAAATGATTGTAAAAAACAGTGTGGGGGTGGAGGACACAGTGCAATTGGTATAGAGTTTGCCATAGTGAGGTCCTCGGTTTGACTTTTATCATGTAGCGGGGAGTGCTTGTTTACACTTGTAATCCCAGCATTTTTAATCCATGGGACATGGAGGGAGGAAGATCAGAAATGTGGGATCGTCTTTGGCAATGTAAGTAGGTTTGAGGTCAGCCTGGACTATGTGAGACCTTGTCTTAAAAACTAAAAGTTGAAACTGAAAGCCGAATTCCTGAATAATTTTTAGATAGTGATGTTTCTACGTAATAAAATATGTTTAAGAACAAATAGTTTGTTTAAAATGTACATACTCGTGTATTTTGGTATATATATATGGCTACATTCATTCATATCTTTAGACAGAGTCATACTATATAAGCTTGGATGCCTGAAGCGTGGTATGTAGATCAGCGTGGCCTTGAATTCATACAGATGTGGCTGCCTCGGCCTCCTGAGTGCTGGGATTATTGGTGTGCACCACCACCACTAGGCCATGTTTGGGTGATATGAGAGTGGGTGCCTCTAAGCTGAGGATTGGATACTACAACTAGAGTTGAGTTTTTCTGTTTGTGTTTTCCTAAGTGTACGAATATTTTTAAACTATTTTGTAAAGTTCATAAATGATAAGCAGTTATTCTGTCTTTTGTTTTTAAAGATTTATTTAGTTTATGTGTATGAGTGCTCTATCTTCATGTACACCTGTGTACTAGAAGAGAGCATCAGATCTCAGCGTAGATGGTTGTGAGCCACCATGTGGTTGCCAGGAACTGAACTCACATCACACTTCTGGAAGAGCAGACAGTGCTCTTAGCTGCTGAGACTTTTCTCAATCCTCCCCACCCACTCGCTTTTTTTTTTTAAGTCTCCTTGAGACAGGTTATGTAATCTTATGTATCCCCAAGGCTATACTCTCTTTTGTTTTGTGCAGCCCCAGCTGTTCTGGACCAGGCTAGGCTTGAACTCACAGAGATCAGCCTGTTTCTACCTACCAAGTGCAGAGATTAAGGTTGTGCAACACCCCTGCCTGACTCCCAAGGCTACTCTCCCCACCCTCCCTTTTCCTTAATTTATTTAATCACTTTACAGTCTGGGTGCAGCCTCCCTCATTTCTCTCCTCCCAGTCCCACTCGCACATCTATTCCTCTCTTCCCTTTTCTTCAGAGAAGAGCCTCCTCCCCTGTGGGTACCAACCCACCCTGGCATATCTAGTCTCAGCAAGACTAAACACCTCATTTCCCACTGAGGCTAGACAAGGTAGTCCAGCTATGGGAAAGGGATGCAGAAGCAGGCAACAGAGTCAGGGACAGGCCCTGCTGCAATTGTTAGGTGGCCCACATGAAGAACAAACTGCACATCCGCTACATATATGTAGGGGGCCTAAGTCTAGCTCATGCAGGCTCTTTGGTGTTTCAGTCTCCGTGAACCCCCATGGGCCCAGGTTTGTTTACTCTGTATGTCTTCCTGTAGTGGCTGTGACCCCTCCGGCTCTCTCCTTTCTCCCACTCTTCCATAGGACTCCTGGCAGTTCCACCTATTGTTTGGCTGTGGGTCTCTGTATCTGTTTCTATCAGCGGCTGGATAAAGCCTCTCAGAAGACACTTACGCTAGGATCCTGTCTTTGAGCAAAGCAGAATTATCATTAATAGTGTCAGGTTGGCTCTCTCCCATGTGGTGAGTGTCAAGTTAGCCCAATCATTGGTTGGCCATTCCCTTAATTTCTTGCTCCATTTTTATTCCTACACTTCTTGTAGACAGGACAAGTTTTGGGTTGAAGGTTTTATGGGTGGGTTGGTATCCCCTCACGCTCCTAGGCTACTCTTAGACTCAGGATCTTCCTGCTTCAGCTTCTTGGGAGACATTACTGGTGTATATCACCATGCCCAGGAAATGTTGGTTTTTTACAAAGAATTTTCAGCCAAGAGCAAGTCTTCAAACTATGTGATTTAGATCAGTAGATGCTTACTAAGCAAATGGGCTCTGCTACTTTGCTGGATACCAGTCATAGTTAAGAGCAAAACAGATCTTGTGGCAAGCCATGATAGTAAATTTAATTGTGTATGTAGGCTTGAGCATCATAGAAGTCATTCAGGAGAAATGTCATTTCAAATCTCACCCTGTTAGAAGTTAGATTGAGGCAGGAAGCCATCTTCCTAGGACCTAGAGCCTGTTTTCTGATTGGTCAGTTAAGCAGATGGAACTTGGACGTTCAGCTGTGCCATCTTGACTTCCGTTGGGGCCTCTGCCTCCTGTTTTTGTTTTTTGTTTTTGCCCAGTTAGGTGCCTATTGTGATTCCAGTGGTGAATGAGACACATTTCTAGAAGAAGTTTTCAGTCATCAACCAGTGCTTTACTGAGATGTTAAAAAGTCCTGGCAGGAATGAGGGGACCCCAGAGAGACAGCTGAGTCCTTGTCTTCTGCCGGTATTCAACTGCTGACACAATGGACTCCAAGGAAATGAACTCTGTCCAGGGTTCTCATGCTGGAGGACGGAAAGGCAGGTGTCCTTGCATGAGGGGAGTTTGCCTCCCCGGAACAGATCTGGCAACTTGCATTCCTGGAGCTAGGAGCCACAGAGATGGGTCGGTCAGCCGTGCACAACTGCGTGGTTACAAATACTGTTTGCATTTAAACACTGGGCCTCTTTCATTGCTGCCCTCCCCAATGTGATGGCAGTAGCAAGAGAGGCACATGCAGTGTCGTGCTGCCATCAGCAGCAGCCTGACAAATTCTTTTCAGAGACCCACTCAGGAAAAGGGAGATTGTTGATTGCGCTGCAGAAACGAGTTTCACGACAAGCCAGTTTGAAGTAGACTCAGGATTTATTAAGAGACATCATTGCCAGGTTAAGCACAGTGGTTAGAACAGCTGCTTGGGGAAAATGAGGCATAGGAGAGTGTGTGTATGGGCTTTTCAAGGGAGAGTTACACATTTTAGTATTATACTAGCCGCACACACATACACATATAATGATTTTGGTTCCTAAGGTTTACATGATAGAATCACAATAAGTTAATATAAGAACAGCTGACCTCAGGGATGCCATAAGATAGGATATCTTTAAAATCTTCAGAGTCCTAGAAAATATACTCAAGGAGAGGGAGTTCTCAAGCTTGGCAGGTTGCTATTTTAACATTTACAAATACCTCTGTAGAAGAAATATTGTCTCTGTGTTGGCAATCATCACAGGAAGCGCTAATCGAGGTGGAATTCTCAGTTGGCATCAACCAGACTCCAGAAAGAGCAGCTCTTGTTTTTTTCCTTTTGTTTTTCTAGACAGGTTATAGCTCTGGCTGTCCTGGCACTCATTCTATAGACCAGACTGGCCTTGAACTCAAGAGATCCCCCTGCCTCTGCCTCCCCAATGCTGGGGCAAGGGGTGCACCACCGCCGCCTGCCCAGAAAGAGCAGCTCTTCTTTCTTTCCATCTTCCTCAAACTTTGTCTTCTCACTCTCTTCCACTATGTTGTATGACTCTCCTCTGCATTTCACTATCTCTCTTCAAATGATGCTATTGAGGACAAGTGGCCAAGCATAGCTTTTTAAGGTCGTTAAGGCCCAGGTTTTGACCCAAAACACTCCAGTAATATTAGGTCCAACTAGGAAAAAGAACATTGGTTTAATTATATCTTGTCTTTCTTTCTTTCTTTCTTTCTTTCTTTCTTTCTTTCTTTCTTTCTTCTTTCTTTCTTTCTTTCTTTCCTTCCTTCCTTCCTTCTTTCCCTCTCTCCCTCCCTCCCTCCCTCCTTCCATCCCTTCCTCCCTTCTTCTCTCCCTCACTTTCTTCTTTCTTTCTTTCTTTCTTTCTTTCTTTCTTTCTTTCTTTCTTTCTCTCTCTCTCTCTCTCTCTCTCTCTCTCCTCTCTCTCTTTCTTTCTCTTTCGACAAGGTTCCTCTGTGTATCCATGACTATCCTGGAACTCACAGATCTCACTGCCCCGGCCTCCTGAGTGCTGAAATTAATGACTTGCACCACCATCACCTGGTCCACTATAAGAGCAGTGAATGTTCTTTACTGAACCATTTCAGCCCCAACATACTTTTTTAACTTGTTTTATTCCTAACAGCCTCCTCCCGCTGCCTCTGATGTAGTGAGAAACATGTTTACAATCTTTTATGTTGTTTTGAGATGGGGCTGCTTACTATATAGCACAGGCTGGCCTTGAACTCAGTATATAATTCAGGCTTGCCTCAAACTTGAGCTGTCTTTCTACCTCAGCCGCTTCACTGTCAGGGTTACAAGCAAGCACCAGCATGCCCACTTAATGTTCAAATTTTTAAAACTTATATATTACATCCCAACTGCAGTTGCCCCTCCACTCCATCCACCTACTCTCTCCCTCTCTCCCTCACATATCCCTCGGCCTCCCCAAGTACTGGGATTACAGGCGTGGCACACCAGGCCCAGTGAAAAAGTTCTTATTAGTTTGTAACAGAACAATCCAAAAGACACCTTGTGTGGGGGCAGGGAAGCCCTTGAGTGCATTATTTTTAACAGAGTTTAACCATTTAACCGCATCACTTTGTTGGTTGCAATTTGCCAAGTAGTCCCAACGTCCCCTGGTAGCTGGCCGCGGGCAGGCAGTCTTTTTTTTTTTTTTTTCCAAAATCAGTTTTAAAAGCTAGTATCAATCTTCAGATCACATATTACATAAGTTGTAATTCCATCTATCCATTTGAATATACGAAGGTTATAGGATATAAAGTGTAAGTGTAAAGGAGGCCGGCAAAGTTCCTAGAGGCCATGTGGGTAAGGCAGAGGCAGAGGCATCGCTGTTACAGACATAAGACAGTTCAGGAGAGAAGATAGTAATCTCAGCTGGAGAGCTGCTGAGGGCCGCAGAGCTCCAACAGAGAGAAGTGCAGCCAAGGTACACAGGTCACAGAGATGGATGGCAGATGCACAGGTAGAGGGAAATTTGGCTCTTGTCAAGTGGGGGACTGAGTCCGGTGTTCTCTTCCTGTGGGTCCCTTGAGGCACATACCAGGTGACAGATGACAGGTTGGTGGGGATGCTGCCATTGCTGTGTTGGGATCTTTATGGCATCCAGGTAAGGGCACTGCAGCTTTTGTGTCATTCTTACGTGTTCTTTGCTTAGTTTTTCTGATTTAGTTATTTGTTTACTGACCTATTTATTTGAACTCTTGGTCTCCTGTAGCCCAGGATAGCCTTGAACTCACTATGTAATTGAGACTAACTTTCAACCTCTTGTCCTCTTGCCTCTGCCTCCCAAGTAGAATTCAGTAGTGCATTGTCATGTATAGCCTGATAAGAGTTTGTTTTCTTTTGGTTTCTCTGTGTATCCCTG